CAAAAAGTAGTTTCATAGTATATTAATTAGTAATAACAAAATCAAGGCCGAGTTTAAATTTTAATATAGAGTTACATTAGATTATTTAGAGGGATATAGATAATTAGTTAATTAATATAGTATATTGACTTGTTGGGTATAGAAGCCCGCTTTGCCCAGTCTGTATTTGCCCAACCCAAACTTATTAGGACTTTTCATGGGCAGGCTGAGCAACGGGTTGCATTTTCCTGTCCGTTCATTCTTCAGGCTGGGCATCGGGTAAAGGTCCTGCCCATGTGCAGCCCTACATCTAATCTTAAAAAAGTTAACAAAAATATTAAAATTTTAAATACTAACAAAAAATTCTTTTTAAAAATAACAATGAATAATGCAAATTAGAAAAATATCACTTTAGACTAGTGATGTTAGGATTATAGGATTGAAAAAAATACTTTCTAAATTTAAAAGCTTAAATTGAAATTTTTTATAAAGTTAAAAGGACAAAAGTGTAATTTTGCCTGTGATAATATTATTTTACATTACACTTTTTTAAATCTATAAGATCTGCCTTATTTGACTTACAAAAATATCCCAACTAAGGAATTACATGCAATGCAAATAGTCAAAGTTGGCGATGAACGGTATTAAACGCCTAATAAAATGGGTAAGCTAGTGACTTTTTAGCCTCCCTAGACATCTGACCAAAAATAGAACTCATTCTAAAATCATATTATTTTTAATCACTTCGCTAGAATTAAGAAAGAGCATTTAACTTATTAAATTTATTTCAAATTAAAATAATTTTTAAAATCCAGGGTATCCACATTTAATATTTTAAATGTCTCAAACAAAACTATCTCTTTATACTAGCTTATAAAGAAAAAAAATTGTACGCTAGATGTTAATTCTCGACATGATACTTTCAAAATTGTTACAAGTTGATATCATGTCGAGAAAGAGTAATATCCGTACAGTACAAGTAATGACCATATTTTTCTTTTTCGTTTTCACTAATGACAACTTGCAATTAATCTTAATTTGTGGAAAGTTGAAACATTCCCTGGCCACCACGGAATGTTTAGTGTCATTTTTTGATTTTGCTCGTTTGTGTTCCCTTTTGTCCAGTTAATTAAATATAAAATAAATAAAAATAGATTATATACTAACTACTGAGTCAATAAAGTTGATCATTTTTTGCCTATTAATTATATTAGTTATATGATTAATTAAAGAGAAAACCCTTGGTGCCTGACTCAGTTCAATTGTCGAGTATCGTTGAGTATGAGGTGGTTTACTCAGTCAACTAATGAGAAGGGATGAACTAATTATTAATTAATACTACTCCAATTCTTAATATAAGACCTAATTATTGAGTTGATTTTGATCCTAAATATAGGACATATTTTTTATATTTATCAATTTTTTTCTAAATTACCTTTATAGATACTCCCTTAACCATAATCAAATAGAAGAGGGAAAGAGGATATTAAGAAAAATAATTATGGTATTTTAAGAAAAACATATCATATTTCTTAAAATTAACTAACTTACCTAACTTTCTTAATCTAATCAAATTAGTTAAATAGATCTTATATTAAGGACCAGAAGAATATTAAAAAATGATTTTTTTTGTCTAAATTTAGAAATAATTAGCAACTAATTAACATTATATTGCAGGCCCTTCAAAGCTCGGACCTCAATAGTGTGTTTGACTTGATCGTGTTTACTCACACACCTTCCGCGAAATTTACTTATCTATTGTTGTTTACCAGTTGCGTAAAATTTTTCTAATTTTTTAATGTTACTATACATTTGAAGATTTTATAATTATAATTAAGGTAAAACAGTGCATTAATTACAATTATTTTTAAAAAGATCGAACTCTTTGCTAAGTTTTATGAGGTTTATTACGAGTTTAGGGAAGATACTATTACCAAAGTAAAAAAGTTGTAAGCTACTAAGCTTAAGAAATTTTTTATAATGACATTCGAAGATCGTTTTAGTAATAATATAATTAAAACGTACGTGCATATTTTTAATTTAATTAATAACTTCTTTCTTAAATATATAGAGTCGATACTAAGTTCCATGTATTACCCGAAATATAAAAAAGGAGCAGCACTGTTAATGATTTACGAAAAATGACCGTAAAAATTATCTATGAATAATGAGATTTATTTCAAGTTTAATATCTACAAGTTTAAATTTTTAAAATTAGTAGGGCCTTTTTTACACTACAGGCAGTTTTATAATAAATCATGGTATTCATTTCACCAAAAATATTATACTGTTCATTTTTTAAAATTTTTATATTGTGATTTGTTATAAATTTTATACTGTTAATGTTGATAATATTATCACTTAACTGATATTGATAATACTGATATTGTTTGGGTCCAGAAATGTAATTTTACGTAATATTTCCTTAAAAATTCCGGACAGTGGTGGGGCATGCATGCCCACAGGAAAACCGAATTTTTTGGCAAGCAGGTAGGTGTGCAGTCAAATTTAAAGCCGCTTAATTTTCAGTCCCAAAAAAAGCCACTTAATTTATTTTTTTTCCACAGAACAGAATTATCAAATTATTTATTTGGCTGTTTGTAAGAGAGGAAGAATCACACAAAACAATTTATTTACTAAAATTTTCTATTGTTATATGCCCATCCATAAAATGGATTGAAATTAAATCACTGCATCAGTTCATAAAGTACTAGATCGGCTCATTAATACAAAAATTAGACGAGGGTTAAATTTATTTTTAAATATAAGATCTCAATTCAATTTTTTTCTAAATTTATAATTTTTTCTAAAAAATATCCCTATTATAATTGTAAAGGCTTCATACTAAGGCAATTTAAATGCACATAATTAAACAGAATAATTTTAAAAAATTAATATATAATTGTTACAAGTAACTAATTTAATTAATTTTTTAAATATTTTTAAATTAATTACTTAAATCCTATATTAAGGGGAGTACATATTATATATATATATATATATATCAACAATAAAGCTTTCCACTAAACTGCAAAAATATTAAATAACTTTGTGTTCAATGCATAATCTTACTATAATTGATTTTGTCTTAGTGGAAAATTTTGATTAGGAACAGATGTAAATTATTATTTTTTTCTTTGTACTATCTTTGATTTCTTTTTGTTCATGATTAATATATAATACCATTTTAATTCCTCCGAAAAGAGAATGTGCTTACACGAACACGGTTTTATATAAAGACCCTTTCAAAACTGAACTCCGTAAAGATTTGCAAAGTGAATCCTTCCAAGCAGCCAGAAAATAATTAAAAATAAAAAATATATTTATAATTACTTTCCTGAAATATTGGTAATTAATTAATTAATTAGACAAGACATATCACATATGATTTAACTAAAACAAAACAGACCATGTCCAAGTATGTAATTAAATGACTGGGAATAACTGGTTCAACGTTCAAGGCAAAGTTTCTTATCTGTCCTTAGTTGTTGGATTGTTATCTCAAAGTTATGGCCCGAATCTGCAAATCAGGTATATAATTAAATTAATTAATTGTTTATTACATATAGATGTGGGGCATAATCTTAAACATTAATAATAAAAAAAATAACCTTTGACTAATTAGAAGTTAGACCAGAACCACCAACTTTCTTTTTCTCGTTTTATTTTATTTGATGTGTCAATAGGCAAATGCAGAAATTATGATAAGATCAAACTTTTTTAATATGCCCATTGGCATCCCCACTGACTATATAATATATATATATATATATATATATATATATATTAATGTGACTGAGTAAGTGTGTTTAATTAATGTAAAAAAAAAAGTTTGGCATCATGGTGAGAGATTTAATTTATTTCAAATTCAATAACTCTTCCGTTTATATAACTATTTTTACTTTTGGATGTTTATAGATATTATATTGATTGAAAATTTCTACTTTGCTATGCCCTCCCCGGTCTTTAAATTCTTCAAATATGGAGATTATATTAATTATAATTAATATTAACATTAATATATATAACATATATAAACTTGTAGTTTATAAATTATAAATAATATGACCATGTTTTTCAAGTTAGTTAACTCACAACAATAAATGAAAAGGGACCCATTTACTTAGAACTTGTGTGTGTGTACATTGTACACGTTCACAAATATGCACAAAACAACCAACAAGCCATATACTGAAGAACAGATATGTATAAGAAAGGTTGTTGAGTTTTCGCGTACGAAAAAAAAATATCCTCCCAAACTTTTAGGTATAATATTAATCGATGTTCACATTAAAACAAATTAAATTATTAAATATTTAAATTAAAGCATAAAATTAAATAAAACTAAGCAACTAGGCGACATAAAAATTAAAGATACATAAAACTAATTATATCATACTTAATTTCTCCTCACAGATGCCTACACCTTTCCTTCGCATATGTCTAGTTATTAGTTAAAGCAAAAAGCTATGTATGATGACATATCGCCAAAATATTAGTATTTACAGCAAATTAAATTAATTATTTTTAAATATTAGTATATAATATAAAAACAACAAGAAAACTACGATATTTATAAGGAGCACCATAACATATTTACACCCAAAATCAATATATCAATATGTAAAAGACTCAGTATAAATTAGCTTGCGGCATACTTCATTTGAAATTATGCTTATTAAGATAGATGATGCGTGAGATACAATAATTAATATATGTTGACAATAATATTAACATTTGATTAAACTAATAATAATAACAATGATAATAAAAACAGTATAAACTACATATGGAATACCAGAGAAAGTATATATAATATTAGAAATACAGGTAGAGACAAATTGAGAGAGAATAAATATAAAAAAAATAAGTTAGAATGAATAAAGAATGCCAGCCAGAGGGGTCGTCAAGTTCAACAACCAACAGTTTTTGTCCAATTTCATGACCAAAAAAAAAAGTCATGCCAATTGAGGGATTTAAAAGGGCGAGAGGCGTTGAGGGGATGTATCATTCCTAGTGCTCTCTTCTTCTTAAGAACCAGTAATCTCTCTCTCTCTCTCTCTCTCAAACTCAAAAGTCTAAATTAATTATCAGAACAAAGCGGTGAAAGAGATCGGCAGCAGATCAGACTGAAGAGTGATAGAAAATAAGAGAGAAAGGAAAGATGGGAAGAGCTCCATGTTGTGCAAAAGTAGGGTTACACAAAGGTCCATGGACTCCTAAAGAAGATGCATTGCTCACTAAGTATATTCAAGCTCATGGCGAGGGTCAATGGAAATCTCTTCCTAAAAAAGCTGGTATATTCATCTTCTGCTTTAATAATTTTCCCTGCAGATTTTGGATTTCCAGTTTGTAGATGATCCATCATCCATCCATGTTAGGTTTCAATTCACTTGTTTTCAATGTTTCTTTCATTCTCTCTCTCGTTATCAATTCTGCATTTTCTGTCCAGGAGAATCTCTCTCAGTTTCTTTATTTTCTTCGCTTGAAAGTTTCCTTCATTTTGGTTTCCGTTAAAAACGCTTGAACGTGCTTCTATTTTATAGACATGTATGATGACTTCGGACTTTAGTTTACGGGATCATTGTTGCCAGGATTGATTCTAACATATCTTATTTACAAGCGGCCAAATCAATAATGAAAGTGAACGCATTAATATTTTAAAGATCTCGCTAAAAGAATTAGTATTATATTTATGTGTAGTACATGTTTGACTCAATTAGCCACTTTATGGATCCATCATGTGTCTGCTTGAATAATCTTCTCTCTCCTCGATCAATTTCCTGTAATTTTGAAATTTTCTGGGAATGTTTCTTATGTTACAGGGCTTTTGAGATGCGGGAAAAGTTGCAGGCTGAGATGGATGAACTATCTGAGACCAGACATAAAGAGAGGAAACATAAGTCCGGAGGAAGATGACCTCATCATCAGAATGCATTCTCTGATCGGAAACCGGTGGTCTCTCATCGCCGGCCGGTTACCAGGACGAACAGATAACGAAATCAAGAACTACTGGAACACTCATCTCAGCAAAAGAGTCAAAGCGCAGCAGTTAGGACCTGATCATCAACCCAGAGACAACGCCGACAAGACGAAAAAGAAGAAAAAGAAGAAGCCCGCGAAAAATAACAGTAAGGACAAATCCAACAGTGACAATAATGAGGAGGAGGAAGAGAAGAAGACAAAGATATATCTTCCGAAACCAATTAGGGTTAGGGCTCTGCGTATAAGCAGGAACGACGAAGATTCCAAGAACGGTTCTTGTACTTCAGGAAGTGGATCTTCAAGCCAAGAACTAGTGCAGAAGCAAGATATGATGGATGTGATGAGTTATGAGCCATGGGGTGAAAATGACGTGTTTGGTTTCTTTGCGGAGGAAGGTCAAAATATTGAGAGAGTCAACGGCTCAATATCAGAAGAAAATATTAATAATAATGAAATGGAATGCGAGTCACTGGAGAGGCTGTACGAGGAGTATTTGCAGCTCTTAAAGGATGATATTAGTGACGAAAAGCAAGGGGAATTGGATTCTTTTGCTCAATCTTTGTTTGTCTGATAATAATAATGAAGATTATTTTGTTAATATACGTGTTTAGAATACAAGATTATATTATTAGGAATAAGAATTTTTGACCTAGCTCTTTAATTTGCGTGTAAATATTGATCACATCTCTCTTTTGCCATCTATTGATTAACACATCTTTTGTGGGCTTAACTGAAAACGACGCGTGTTTTGGTCATATATAGTTTTGTTTACTCTCTCTAGCTTTCCCCCTATTTCTCTAACTATACATTGCCTCTCCTGTCTTCTTTATTACTCCTTCAATCCTAAATATAAGATCTATTTAATTAATTTTATTAAATTAAAAAAATTAGGTAAGTTAGTTAATTATAAGACATATGACACGTTTTTTCTAAAATATCATAATCATTTTTCTTAATATTCTTCCTCCTTCTATTTGATTTTGATTTAGGGAGTATCAATGAGATAAATTAAAAAAATTGATAAATATAAAAATAAGTTTTATATTTAGTATCAAGATTAACTCAATAATTAGGTTTTATATTAAAGACTGGAGAAACATCTCACCACAGTTTTGTTAAAAAATTCAACTTTGCCCACTAAAAAAAAACATATAAAGAGAGAGAAATGTTACATCAGATTGTTTTAAATCTCCTCTCAGTAAATTGTAGTAGGGGTAATATCAAAAAAAAAGTCAATAACTTACCAAGTGATCTATATAATATGAGATCATTAGTTCCTTTTAGGAAGCACACGGGACCATCAATTCCATGTAATACGAAATGGCAATTAACTTCAAAAAATTTTCAAAGATTTTACTCGTCTTCTCAACAATAAAGCTAAGTCTTAGTAGTATGAGAGAGATTTTTACTTTCATATATAACATCAACTGGGAATTATAAGTACAATCGAACCTGCATAGTCTCTGCTAAGTTACTACAGTAACAAGACCATTGACTTCTACACTCCCATTTCAGGTATTTTACATACAAAAAGAAGGGAAGATATTATTTTGTTGGGGAAAAAATATGGTGGATGTTTGGAGTTCACAAATAATAAAAATAAAATCTCATTGACAGGTACAAACAACTCCTAACTTCCCTCTTAATTAAGGGAGAAAATGTGCTCTACTTCATTTCAAACTAATCGATGCTTATCAACTACTAAGCGTTAAACTTATCTCCTTCTTCGTAGCAATACACACTCTTCTTGACTTTAATTAGTTGCTATATATTTTGGATAAGTTTATCTTTCGATTTAATAAACATTCTCCAATTATTTGGTTAATCATAAGCGAATAGGATACTTAATTCTCATTTATTAGTTTATCGACACAATTACTTGTGTATTTATTAATAGTTTGGTATATTTTTAAATTAAGTATATTGTTAATAGGAAGTTTGATGTCAACGCTAGTGAGCTATTACCTACCTACCTTTCTTATACACAAAAAAACAAGCGTTGGAAAAGCGATTGTCATAATTTCCCAACCACTCTTTAATATATTTATGCAACTTGACATTTCAAGTAAATAAAACCAGAATTTTAAAAACATGTATACCATAATTTTTTTAAAAAAATTTACATTTGTTTCTATGGAATTAAATCAATCCAATTAATCAATACCTCAAACACTGAACAATTGTAAAGAAATTAATAATTTGGCATGGCAGCCTGTTTTCGTATAAATTAATTAGTAAAGAAATTAATAATTAATTGTTTACGTGATGCAAAAAGATAATAACAATAGTTGCAACTTACTTTTTTTAAGAGTTAACTTACATTTTTGGAATTATTTCCCTTTATTCGATTGAAGGGACAAAACAAGAATAAATGAAGGTGAAGGAGAAAGGCAAATGGGAAAAAGGCAATTAAGATAAAATTTGATAAATTTCTATAATTTGTATTATTTTGAATTATACAAATTCCTAAAAAGAAGATAACAAAATTTTAAAAAATTAGGGAAAGCCTATATAATTTACTCTTATTTGTTTGAAAAATTGTGTGATGGGCTTTGAAAAAAGATATGACTGCATAAATTTAGTAATATTTATGCCAAACTATATAATATTTTTGTTTATATAAAATTAAGTTCATATAAATTTAAATCATACATAATTTCAACAATACCATCAAAATTCTTGTCATTTACACAAATGATAATGACTGGGGGGCATGTGTGATTAGCAATAAACAATATGTGCGATATTAAAAATCCGCAATGAATGATAAGTTTTAAATCACTTTTCATTTCTTTGTCATTTCATCTAATTATTGGTTAGTTAATTAATTAATTACTTAATTAATTATATTATCACTTGATTATTTTAAATAGTTAAGAAATTAAGTTCCCGTACTCTCTGACAGTGATGAGCTTTTAACTTACGCCAATGCTACTTGTCTCAATCTGCAAAATACTTTATTCCTTAATATAACCTATTTATAATTATCTCGCATGTATAAAACAAATTTTAAAATCAGTCAAGTTATTAAAGCTTCCAAAAAAAATAATTAAATTTTGAAATTACTCTTATTAACTCCATCATGAAATTTAATAGGCGGACATTTCTTTATAATTTGCACACAAAGTGCATATTATGTGAAAGAAAAATAGTTAATGTCCCACAAATATGTAAGGTGACTAACAACTAAAATTAAGAACTCCTTTCGGAAGATATCTCAAATTAAGGAACAAAATGGTATATAAAAACAATTACACTCGACTAGTGACATAGGAAAGTAATTAATTATCCATTAAAAATATCTTTATTTTACGTTAAAAATAACTAAAATTGTGACTTTAATTTGATGATAGTACATAATCGATTTTCTTTCCTAAGCATGGGTATCGTTCTGTTTGAGATGATAATATTTAAAATACAGCTAGGTATTAAACATAGATACCTCTTATAGTAGGAATTTGAATACTAAATCGTCACATTGTGAGAATTTACCACCTTTGCTAGACATATGGTTGTCCAATTTTTGTTCCGTACGTATTGATCTTCTAACTTGTATAACCCAAAAAATTAATTCACGTAAATTTGCTGATTGATTATAGTAGATAATTTCAAATAAGAAGGACAAGACGATTAACTACTGATGTTATACACACACAAAAAAACGTTAGAAACGTATAATAACTTGTCTGGCAAGAAGTTGAATTTTATTGTTATAAATATTTTCATAATTTATATACTACCTCCGGTCCTTATTATAAGAGCCAGTTGACTAATTTAAGGAGATTAAAAAAGTAAGTTGAGTTAGTTATTTGTCCTAAATAGGTGTTGTCTTTCTTAAAATATCCTTACTAATTAAGTGTATTGACTAGAACTATCATTATTAGAAGGGCTACTTTGAAAAAAATGTATAAATATGAGAAACAAAGTGGATTGGGATCTTATATTTAGGACCAAAATAGAAGTCAAACAAGGTCTTATATTAAGGACCAGAGGTAGTAGTGTTTTATAATATTATACAATATTATAAATTAGCCAACTAGTTCTTATAATTAAGATAAGAGGTACTCCTTCGGTCCTAATTATAAGACCCAGTTGACTTATTTGAGGAGATTAAGGAAGTAAGTTAAGTTGGTTATTTATAATAAATAAGTGTTGTCATTCCTAAAATATCCTTGCTAATTAAGTATATTGGCTAAAACTATCATTATTAGAAAGATTATCTTGGAAAAAAAATACATAAATATAAGAGACAAAATGGATTGGGGTTTTATAATTAGGACCAAATAAAAAGTCAAATAGAATCTTATAATAAGAACCGGAGGTGTACTATATAACAACGGAGAGTTCAAATTTTCAAAAGCTAAGTTTTCTAACCAAAAAAGTATAGATGGTAAATGTGGCTCACGTGTCAGAAACTTCTACGCACTAAATATAGTCAAAATTCAAAAACATCATTACAATGAATATATATAGTTAAATAATATTGTGTTCCATTTCATAATTATATCGTCATGCTTGCGACGTCTGATAGATTGTTTTTTTTTTTCATTTGAATGATGATTACTTTAAATTCAAAAACAAGTTTATTTTTATGATAAAATTAATTCTAAGTACTAAATTTTGGTTGACTGCTAGAGAGTTTTCCTTTTCCCTCAACAACTTTGGGTTCCTAATTTTTTTCAGATTCTTGTTTATAATTAAGTTCGGCAAATTTCACACACCTTGGTTTTGTTTGGAAGCAATTGAATAATCCAGCAAAAAATGAAGCAATTAGCATATCATATTATGCCAACTGTAACTTCCTTTTGTGGTTGTCTTAATTACGTAAACAACTTTGTGTGGTATAAATTAAATAATCAATCACACATTGTCTATAATTAATTAATTACATTTATATTAATAATATATTCATACCAAACCCCCAAACCTATATTGTCATGAAAATATGATAACGAATTATGGCCACTATAATATTATTTTCTAAACCGACTAAATTAACAATTAGCTTTTTTTCAATTCTTTTAAAGATAAATGTGCAATTTTATTTATGATTTTATTTTTCAGGTGTAATTTTTCTGCTGATTTTTTTGGGTGCAATTTTAATCTTGTTCTTTTAGTAAATATAAGAAATAAGATTAGAAGTAAAATTGCATCTTTTTTTTTCAACTTTCTTTTTTTATGAAATTTTTATTTAACTTTCTTTTTTTTATATATATATTTTTTAACTTTCTACATCTGCTGAACCGTGTAGAAAGTACTATACCCCGATTTTAAAACTAAATTGAAAAGCCTTTGTTAATTGGTATAAAAAGTATTTACTATAATAGTGAATCATGATTTACTTTATTAATGAATTATATTATCTAAGATGAGAGAAAGATCCAAAATTGAAAGCAACTAAAGGAAGAAACAAGAGAGTCAAAATGAGTTGGATATTTCTTCCTCACCGACCCAAATATGCGTATATATATGATATGACTTATGAGTTTCGTGCCATCATGTACATTAGTCAATATTTTTATCCCTCATCAACAAATAATTATCTTTAATTACAACATAATTAATGTAAATATCATTGTTATACCTGAGTGTCGCTCTCCCGTTGTTTATACATGACTCTTCAGATCTTTATAAGGTTGTGATTACAAGCACTTAGTTCTATTTATATTTATAAATTATTTAAGCACAAACTATATATGTCCAAGAATTAATAACTCTA